TGATCGTCAATAGCTTTAGAGAAGCACCTGTACAAGTTTACAAATGATCAGAGTATATCTTTATGTAAATCAGAAAGACTGCTCAGTGAGACGTTAGATGTTGGGGAAGGGCATGACATTTGTTATCTAATGAATGAGTTTGAGGCAAAGATCGAGGCGAAGAGCTTCGTCTTGCTTTTCGAGGTTGATACAGCATCGCGGCCATTTATAATACTGGACACAGCCGCTCTGCCTCTGTTCGTAATTTCGTTGGTGATCATCCAGAATTCTCGAGAACCAATTTGTTTGCCTGGACAGTTCGCGCGTTACAGTGATTGTGGGCGGTTCTGAAAGAAGTAAAGGCCAGACTACACCGTTCCTTGCGATAGATTTTGAAGTAGTGATTCCTGTGAGCTATGGCTGCAGCACATTCAGAGGTCCGTCCTGGGTAAGATGATAAACTACATCCGCGTCCTGGGTAAGACGATAAACTACGTCCAACAGCAAGGCATCTGATTAGGAGGCTTTGAGGAGCGTGAAACCACCTCTTAATTGCTGGTGTTTCCAGGTCCTCCCTGACCCGGGGTGGTAGCACCTGTTAGGGTCCCTGCTATGGGTAAATAGTTAACATCCAAACGTGTAAAATTGGTTTTAATACCAGAAATACTTTGTAATAAAAAAAAGATATTACCAGCAATAATTTTTGAAGGAAAAATTATTATCAGCAATACTTGAAAAACATACCAGTAATACAAACAGTTATACATTCTTTGGGAATACAAAATATGGCGCGCAAATAATTATGTATACATAAAAACCTTTTTTTTTTACCAAACTATCGCTATGAATCTATTTCAAAAATTTTGTCGACATTCAATAACCCATTCAGGTTGATAATCCGTAAAACAAACGAAAGCAAACTAGAGGGCACAGAATCCCCAATATACACTACATGGCAAGAGAAATTTACAGTGAAACATATATTGTTAGATTGTGTAGATTTTGATCTAGTGTGAATAAAATATTATCAAGTGAGTAATTTAAAAAAAAAAAAATTTACGAAAATAAAATCATGCAAGATTGTAAATTACCTAAAAGAGGTTGGATCGTACTCAAAAATATGAGTAATTGAAAAATGGTTCAAATATATATGTGTATACATATACACCATTTTTTAAAACCAAACTATCGCTATGAATCTGTTCCAAAAATTTTGTTGGCATTAAATGACCCACTGAGGTTTTGATATGCCATAAAACAAAACAAAACAACCAGCATTCAGAGGTGAACTGGGGCTGACTGTTTTGCTGGAAATTTTGGTCGGTATATGTTGTAGAGTGGTTTCATAGTGGCGGCTTGTATTTGTACTAAGTCGGTCTTAAAAACGGTTCAATGTACTAAACGTTAGGAACTTGATATAAGAGGTAATAACGCAGCAATCTAGTTGTGGTGGCTGATACTTTAATATCCGACTAACGGTCGTCCGACATCGACTGACTGACCAAACTCCCTGAGCGACTCTACTACTCCTACTTATTATAGGTGGGAGAGTCTATTAACTATAGAATAGGTGTGTTCCACTATAACAGTATAAAACACTCTATTCCATAAAGGACTCATTTAGAGATTAGGGCAGCAGTTTTGGAGGTAGCATGAAGATGTAGGTAGTTTTTGAAGAAGGTTGCAAGAGGAACATCCGTTATATAGGATCGGAAGCTCTCCTAGTGTGCCTTAGCATAGCGAGAAACCTTTCTATGGAATGGTAAATCAGGGTATATTATTGGTTTAGAGTCGGACAGGAGAGTGACTAACGCATGGTCTCATGTGTCAATGGCGGGAGTTAAAACGTTTTGCTGAGCACTTGTCAGAGCAGAATGTTAGAAAAAAGGTCAAGGAGGTTTTCCTGCTGCCCTGTCACATCCGTGACTCGAGTGAGTTCTTCAATAATCTGGTTTAGCTCCTAAGCGATTGAGTATCGGCCTTCCTCATCGGTTTGTTAGAGAGGACTAATAACAATTTGGGGTGAACATTGAAATCACCGTATATGTGAAGGCCCATTCGGTTAGAATATTGTCAATCCTCTCTGATCAGTCAGTTATGTGCCATGCGTGATACACGCTTAGGCGATCATGTATCTTTCGATACATGACTGACGAGGCAGATTTTTTCCGCAGTAGTCTGCCATATCTTTCTGCGGTCGACCAGTTGCCATCCAAGGCTACAAAACCCGGTCTGTCCTGCTATTTTCCCATAGCTGGAAGAAGAGGATTCATACTTTTCCCAAGAATATTAGCACGTTAATAAATATCAATCAGTTATATGTCATGCGTGATATCCACTTGAGAGATCATGTATCTTTCCGTATATGACTGACGAGGCAGATTTCCCCACCCCCGCATTTCTTTCTTCAGTAGACCAGTTGCCATCCAAGGCTATAGAACATGGTCTGTCCTTCTATTTACCCATAGCTGAGGGGAGAACGAGAGGATACATGCCTTTCCCAAAGGTATTGGCACGTAAGTGAATATCATTCGGTTATGTGCCATGCGTGATACACGATTAGGCAATCATGTATCTTTCGATACATGACCTACGAGGGAGATTGTTTTTCCACAGTAGGTTGCCATTTCCTTCTGCGGGAGACCAGTTGCTATCCAAGGCTATAGAACCCGGTCTGTCCTGCTATTTACACATAGCTTTGGAGAAGAAGACGATTCATACCTTTCCCAAGAGAATTAGCACGTAAATGAATATCAATCAGTTATATGCCATGCGTGATAACCACTTAGGCTATCATGTATATTTCGATACATGACTGACGAGGCAGATTTTTTTTCCCGCAGTCGGTTTCCATTTCTTTCCCAAGGTATGAATCCCAAGGTAAGTGCATGTGTTGGATTCGACTGGAATTCGAACTCGTCTCTCCGATTCCTCTATGATATTCGATCGAAGATTACCGACCCTTAATCCTGATGATGATAAGGAGCAAAGACGAATATCGTACTGTGGATAAGTGCCCCCGCAGAAGCACATATAGGGGAGATCAGGGTCCTCATTTTTTTTGTGTGCCTGCCATACGTAAACCCGTCCTCGATGTAGACACCGAATCTGTGACCGTGGCGATTGAAGTGGTCGTATTTTGTGAGGGGCCCAGGATTGTGAGCTCCTGCAATGGGATTGAAGCATCGATAGCCGTTTCAAACAGAAACAGGAGAACAGGTTTGCAGTGTTATTGGTCCTGACCTGGCATCTCAGCTTCAGTTTCTTTCCCACTCGCTCTAACATAGCTACCATGTGTCTTTTCTATAAATATTTTCATGGTAATTGTTCTGATGAACTCTCCACTAGGGTACCTAGATTTTATGAATTTAAGTGTATTACTAGATTGGCGGCAAGGTCTCATCATTTTACACCTGAAATGGATAGATGTAACCGTAAGTTCTATGCTAACAGTTTCTTCTATCGTACTTCTCGCTTGTGGAATTTTCCTCCAACTTCTTGTTTCCCAGTCAACATTGATCTTCAAAAATTTAAATGCAATGTCAATCGTTATCTTCTGTCTTCTTAATTCTTGTTCTTTTATTGTTTTCTTTTCCTATAGTAGTTTTCTTCTAACACTCAGTAACCTCTTGGTCCTAGTGGCCTTATTGCCTTTGATCTTCAAAATTTAAATGCAATGTCAATCATTATCTTCTGTCTTCTTAATTCTTGTTCTTTATTGTCTTCTTTTTCCTTAATAGTAGTTTTTCTCATATTCTCTAACACTCAGTAACCTCTTGCGCCCTAGTGGCTTTTATTGCCTTTTGATCTTCAAAAATTTAAATGCAATGTCAATCATTATCTTCTGTCTTCTTAATTTTCTTTTATTGTCTTCTTTTTCCTTAATAGTAGTTTTTCTCATATTCTCTAACACTCAGTAACCTCTTGCGTCCTAGTGGCTTTATTACCTTTTGATCTTCAAAATTTAAATGCAATGTCAATCGTTATCATCTGTCTTCTTAATTCTTGTTCTTTTATTGTCTTCTTTCCTTAATAGTAGTTTTTCTCAAAACACTCAGTAACCTCTTAGTGGCTTTATTGCCTTTGATCTTCAAAAATTTAAATGCAATGTCAATCGTTATCTTCTGTCTTCTTAATTTTGTTCTTTATTGTCTTCTTTCCTTAATTAGTTTTTTCTCATATTCTCTAACACTCAGTAACCTCTTGCGCCCTTTTTATTGCCTTTGATCTTCAAAAATTTAAATGCAATGTCAATCGTTATCTTCTGTCTTCTTAATTCTTCTTCTTTTTATTCTTTTCTTAATTGTTTTTTTTTTTTTTTTTCTTATATTCTTTCACACTCAATAACTTCTTGCGTCTTAGTAGATTTATTTCCTTGCTTCGGATCAGATGATTAAATGTAATGTCAAACGTTCAATTCTGTCTTTTTAATTCTTATTCGTTTACTATCTTTTCTTTTTAATAGTACTGTATATTTTTCTTATCTTCTCTAACACCCAGACACTTTTGAGTAGCTTTATTGCTTTGTTGGGGCCACTGGAGTGAATTTGACCCCTAATAGGTAAAGAACCACATTGAGAATAAAATTGTTCATCATGGCAGGAGAAAACCCATTTGTCTGCAAAAGTTACCAAAAAGTAACCCATGCCTATATCATGGCTGTCCAAGATATATCTCCTGGAAAATGTCTTTGTTTTGGGTTTTCTTACTCTGGTATTGAATAGGACGCTGATTCAAGATGATTCGTAAATGATGATCAAGGCAGTACGATCAACGAGCCTTGAAGTGGCTGATGAAATATCTCAGGGGAAATTTCTTTGTCATGTCTTTTTACCCTAGCAGCGAATCGGATCGTGACTCAGGACGACAATTCGAAGATGGTGACGAAGGCTGCGAAAGCCATGATACTGTTGGAAGGCTTGACAAAATATTTTGTCAATATGATGTCATGTGAAAAGATCCAGATTCCAAGCGGCTAAAAATAGAATATGAAAGGATTAAAATTATGGAAAGCCTCGAATTTATGAAGACGAATAGAGAGAGAGAGAAAGAGAGGGAGTGAAAGAGGGTAATAGAGAGAGAGAAAGAAAGAGAGAGGGGGAGAGAGAGGGAGAGAGAGGGGGAGGGGAAAGAGAGTGGGAAGAGAGGCGGAGAGAAAGAGAGAGAATACAGAAAGGGAATGGAGAGAGAAAGAAAGAGAGAGAAAGAGGGAGAAAGAGAGAGAGGAAGCGATAGAGAAAGAGGGAAACAGAGAGAGAGAAAGAAAGAGACAGGGGGGAGTCAAAGAGGGAGAGCACAAGAGAGAGGGAGAGAGAGAAAGATAGAGAAGAGAGAGGAATGGGGAGAGAAAGAGGGAGAGTGAAAAGAGAGAGAAAAAGAGAAAGGGGGAGACAGAGAAAGAGGGAGAGAGAGAAAGATAGAGAAGAGAGAGGGAATGGGGAGAGAAAGAAGAAGAGAGAAAAAGAGAGGGGGGAGATAGAGAAAGAAGGAGAGAGAGAAAGAATAAGATAGAGGGGGATACAGAGAGGAAGATCGCAAGAGGGAGAGGGTGAGAGAAAAAGGGAGAGAAATAGAGAGGAAGAGAGAGAGGGGGAGGCAGAGGGAGAGAGAAAGAGGGACAGAGGGAGAGAGAAAGAGAGAGAGGATGAGAGAAAGAGAGAGAGTGGTAAGAGAGATGGCGGGAGAAAGGGAGTAAAAGAGAGAGAGAGAGATATTATGACAACGGTGAAAAGGCTTATATTTTGGGGTGGAAAAAAAAAATAACAAAAAACAAAAAAAAAAAAAAAAAAAGAAAAGAAAAGAGAGAAGACAACTTCAAATAAATTAAAAAACAAAGCAAACTCCAATCCGGAAGGTGTTATTTGTATTCTGTCCGGGAAGGGAAGAAATATGTTGTTTTTTTTTTTTTTTCTTTTTTCTTTACTTTTCTTTTTCTCCAAATTTGCCATGTCTGAAAATAATGGCTGCCTTTTTGCCGACATCCCTTCCAGTTTACTCAAAGCTTTTTTAAACCCTTTTTACAGCTCAAATAACAATTAAAAACTGATACAAAACAACGACACCAAATTGAACGAGTCGGAAGAGACAAGATTTAAAATGTATGACTAATATTCGCCCCTCTTTCAGAAACACAAGATTGTTTACTTCAGCTTATTTTTTTTCTCCCCGAACGAAAATGTTGACTGTGTACATAATACCAGAAGCCATTTTTCTTTTTACCTCACAGAAAAAAAAAAAAAACAATGTAAAAAGAACATTTCTCCTAAAAGCCTTGCAAAGAGCGTGACACTAACCTTGAAACTATTTATTACAACATTTCATGAATATATACCCAAGTTTGGTCAATACTCGCAGATAACGGGACGATTTTGGAAGTGCATCTAGTCCATGGGTGTACCTCCAAAAATCTATATTACCAGAACCTGGCAACTGATTTCTCTTCTGACCAATCTCTAAACAGCCCAACGGCGGTGGATAGGGAAGACGGGAACGAGCTTGTAACTCTCAATATCTCCAAAACCAACCTCGTAACTTTTAAAAAGAACTTGGACCTCCTTGGCCGCAAATAAATAAATAAACCTTTTGAATTTAAGACAGTCACTTGGCAAGTTATGTTTTCTATTTTACACTTCTTCTCGAACGACGACAGAGAAAAAGAAGAAAAAAAAAATTCTGGTATTTTTATTTTTGCGTTGTTTGAGTTTCATTGGTTAATCAGATTTCCTGTAAATTCGAATTGTTAAACAAACGTTAGTGTAACTTATAGCTAGAAAGATAAGATTGTGTAGCTTCGGATTGGATTAAATCTGGAAAAATGTCCGAGAAATTTTCATAGAAAATATTCGTCCTTTGACAGGATTCGAACCTGCATCCGATACGGAACCGTCATTTACGCTGACGTGCCTTGACCGCTTTGTCCATTTCTTAATATATGACGTCATTTGTTTACATTTGATACGCCATGAGCAGTTATGAATGTACGAGATTCATGGAAGATTGAAGTTTATAAGCAGTAAATTCGAACGCTCCTTTCTGGCCGAGTCGGTTAAGGCTCGTCAGCCTAAATGACGGTTCCGTATAGGATGCAGGTTCGAATCCTGTCAAAGGACGAATATTTTCTATGAAAATTTCTCGGACATTCAGGCCGGTAAATGTCATTTAATACTGTTTATTATAAACAGAGCGTTTACTTAAATACTTGTATCTATAAAAAAGAACGTTAAACATAAAACTGTCTTTAATATATATATATATTACAACCCAAAAGATAAGATTCAGCTTAAAAAAAAAATACTGAAATGGTTGATAAACCATAAAAATCAAACCGGTCACTTCCCTTTACGTCATTATGTACAATGAAGACTTTTAGACCAATTTCAAATGATGCTTCTGGTATTGTCTCATCTAGTGAAATTAAACTCAATTTTGGCTTTCTGTTCAAATATCGGAATAATGCGTTAACCAACTTCTTAAATATACTTAAAAGACAAAAATAATAATAAAAAAAATAAACGAATAGTCAGAAAGGCGGATTTCCCCTTGACACCGCTATCATTTTGACTACCTGCACACAGAATTTTCAACTAAAATTTTACGTATTATTTAGCTGTTAGATTGTTTGGTTACAAGATTACTTTTATATTAAGAAGATTATGAAATCAAGGGAAGCAACTACAAGGAAAAAATTATCATTTGCCATTTTCTAAAAAGATAAATATGAAAACGAAGTTTTTTTATACATCTCTATCTATAAAAGGCAGGATATGTGTGTGTGTGTGTGTGTGTGTGTGTGTGTGTGTGTGTGTGTGTGTGTAACGAATGCACGGCCGCAATTTTCGACGGATTTGCACCAAAATTTACATGCACATGCTCCAAGTTAGCTGGAAGGCCAAGACCGCTTTTGCATTTCCCAACTCCCATCGATATTGGAAATAATCGATTTTTTCATGCTTCTACGGCAGTTTTCATGTAGTTTGCAGCCCTTTTCTACTGGCCAAAGTGAGAGCCTATAGGTGGCTGCCACGAATAGGCAGGAAGATTCTATTGGACAGCGTGAGAGCCAACAGCTGACTGACACGAATATTAACTAGCATGCTAGCATGCAAAAAAAATCGATAGCTGCATTCGTCACAAGTGGGAAAAATTTAAATCTGCATGGCACTTTACTCCAATTGGCTCATTCGCTTGCTTAAACCCAACGTTGATTCTGATTCCGCAGAACTGGGTTGGGTGTGAAAAAGTATTTGTTGTTAACATTTTTTTTCATTCGGTTTTTCCAGTTACGAGTCCTTTTTTAAAGCTGATCGTTTTGTGTTCATTTTATTTAGTTCTTTTTTTGTAACAGATTTAATGTTTACTATAGAGCTTAGAAAAAATTCGCAGTGTGAGATAGGCAAGAAGTAAGGCATATAGCAACATCAGCACGGCAAAGGGCACTCCTTTAAAGGCAAGGAAGGGCAAAAATATTTTAAGTCAAGTGATAGCGATTGCTGTATGAGTCGTACGATTTTTGAATCAAGCACGGGCAACGCCGGGTCATGCTGCTAGTGGGTTTATAAAAAATCACGTAATTATAAAAATATGTGAACCCTCTATCATGTAATATTCATTGTTTACCATTTTATGATGCGATAAAGAACAAATAGAAAAGCTTTATCAAGCTAAAATGTTTCACTTTTATTAAAACTTCATCAGAGAATGAGATATGGAGAAAATGAAGAAAGAAATTCTGGTATTTTTGTGTTTGATTTTTATTTGTTAATCAGGTTTCCTGTGAATTCGACTTGTTAAACAAATGTTAGTATAATTTAGGGCTAAAAAAAGAGTATTGCATAGCTCCGGTTCAACCACCTATGGGTTAAATAGTAGAACTTGGATCTGGAAAAATTATTGTTATTTCAAAACGATTGTTAATGAAATATTGACTCGAAAAAAATTATTTTTACAATCTAAAAAATAAGATTCAGCTTTAAAAACCCACAAAGGGTTGATAAACCATAAAGAACAAACCAGTCAATCCCTATGTGTCATTATCTCCAATGAAGATTTTAAGACCAATTTAAAATTATGCTTGTAGTATTGACTCAGTGAAACAAAACACAATTTTGGCTGCCTACTCAAACTTCGGAATAAGGATTTAACAAACTTCTTAAATTTATTCAAAAGACAAAAATAAATAAACGGAGATTCAGAAAGACTGATTTTCCCTTGACACCTCTATCATTTTAACTACCTTCTCTCTTTGGCAATGTTTATTTTTTTGAAAAGCGATGATTAGAATTATAACAAAACCTAAACACATGGAAGTTAATTTATACATGTTCTTTGTTCATGAGGATTTACAACGAAAATAATAAACACTATTCACGTAATTATAAAAAAAATATGTGAACAATGTATCATGTAATATTTATTGTTTACCATTTTATGATACCATAAAGAACAAATAAGAAACGTTTATCAATCAAACATGTTTCACTTTTATTAAAGCTTCACAAGACAAGGAGATATGGAGAAAAAAAAAGACATTCTGGCTTTTTTATTTTTGTGCTTTAATTTTCATTGGTTATTCAGGTTTCATATGAATTCGACTTGTTAAACAAACGTTAGTATAGTTTATGGCTTTCTCATAAGCGTATAACAATCTGAGTTGTTTATGTGGGATTCAGATTATGTCTATTCATAAGTGTGTGTAGTAGTAGTAGTAGTAATAGTAGTAGTAGTAGTAATAATAGTAGTAGTAGTAAAAGTAATAGTAGTAATAATAGTAGTAGCAGTAATAGCAGTAGTAGTAATAGTCGTAGTAGTACTAGTAGTAGTAGTACTAGTAGTAGTAGTAATAGTAATAGTAGTAATAATAGTAGTAGTAATAGTAGTAGTACTACTACTACTAATAGTAATAGTACTAGTAGTAGTAGTAATAGTAGTAGTAGTAATAGTAATAGTAGTAATAATAGTAGTAATAGTAGGTGGTACCACTACTAATAGTAATAGTATTTAGTGGTAGTGCTACTAGTAGTAGTAGTAATAGTAATAGTAGTGGTAATAGTAATTGTAGTAGTAGTAATAGTAATAGTAGTAATAATAGTAGTATTAATAGTGGTAATGCTACTACTAATAATGGTAATAGTATTAGTAGTAGAACTACTACTAGTAGTACTAGTAGTAGTAGTAATAGTAATAGTAGTACTAGTAGTAGTAGTAATAGTAGTAGTAATAGTAATAGTAGTGATAATAGTAGTAGTAATAATAATAGTAATAGTAGTAGTAATAGTAGTAATAATAGTAGTAGTAGTAATAGTAGTAGTAGTAAAATAGTAGTACTAGTAGTAGTAGTAATAGTAGTAGTAATAGTAATAGTAGTAATAATAGTAGTAGTAGTAATAATAATAGTAATAGTAGTAGTAATAGTAGTAATAATAGTAGTAGTAGTAGTAGTAGCCATTATGTTTGTTTTTAGCATGTTGATTTGAAAATGTGTTACGTATATACAGTTTGTTTTAGATAAACAAACGTTTTAGATGTGATGTAATATGTTTTGACGTGTGTTTATAGTTGGTAATATTGTTATTAGTACTCCCTCGAAGTAATTTTTCACGTAGAGTATTATGCTCTTTTTTATTAGGGTGACATTTGTAAAATCAAAGTTATGGCCAATTTTGTTTGTGTATATTACGAGTGAGTGTGAATGGTTGTCTAAACGTCAATCTCTCTTACGTTCGTAGATACGGGCTTTTAGATTTTATAATATCTTTCCTATATAAATGACTTTACATTGTAAGAAATTTATTTGATAAGTACCGGCATCTGAATTGGTGTTGGGTTTATTTTTCTTCCTAATTACATCTCCGGTTGTCTTGGACGTGGTGGTAAAGATCCTAGTATTAGAGATAACTAATTTATTGCAGAAAGAGTCTTAGAAAGGGTAAGATTATGAATTTTGTTGTTGCTGTTAGAAGTGCTATCGGTGGTATCGATATATATATATATATATATATATATATATATATATATATATATATATATATATATATAATTTTTGTTGTTGTTAGAAGTACTATCAGTGGTGTAGATAGATAGATATATGTGTGTGTGTGTATGTGTATTAGGTTGAGGCTAATTTCCGTCACCAATATTTTAAGTAGAACTTTTTTAGAGAATTTATAACGGTTTTTCTTAACTTTATTGCTGGTATAATAAGTCAACTGTAGTGTTTTACTTACAAGCCTCCAAAAAGTGGTAATTTAAGCGGAGCAAC